ACCCTTTGGCTGAAAGTTGACCCCTGAGGGCAGTTTGAGTACTAGGCTTTACAGGTTTTTATGGGCCACCATCTCAAGGGTTTCCTCAGCCTCTGTCAGATCCTTAAGCCTGGTCTATTTTATGATTGTACATTTTGTCCTATCTTTTTGTAAAAATGCCCTCTCTGCCCAAAGCCTTCTATTATGATCCTGATCAGAATGGTTAGTAGTGGTAGTAAGGCACCATCTAGCTCTTCTGGCCCCAGAGTAGTAGAGGTTGTGATTTACATAATGCATTAGTCCTTTGGACCATTTCCTTGAGTGTTTTATTTACTTACTTTTCATTGTTCTGAACAATAGAGATGGATTGTCTCATCTCAAATGGCCCCTTGCGAGTTGTTAGAACTCTAATCAATACCCAACATCGAATGGAGAACACGGTCTTTGTGGATTGTGATGTCCTGAGATTGTTGTCTGACAGCGCCAAGCCCAATGAATGACTCATTCTCTCAAGGTATCTGATCGTGGCTAAGAAGTTTTCAGAACTTTGCCCCCTGTATCTTCTATCTTTGGATATATTTACAACATCTATACATGTCATGGACGGAAATTTGTCCCCCAAACTTGGCTAGGTGATGACTGTCAGTTTGTGTAACAATGTAATTATCCTCCGTGGTGTGATCTGATGGACTTAGTTTCAAGGGGAACACAGTGGAAGTCAACATCCTTAACCAGGTCGTCACCAAGATCTGATGTCAGGGGTTTCCCTGCGATGTGGCCTGCAGACCCTTTTTTCCCCAATCACTTTATTGGGGGCTCGTACGACACTTATCCAGCACTAATCACAATCCATACATACATGCATTGTGTCAAACACATTTGCACCTTTCTTGCCCTCATCATTCTCAAATTTTATCTTACAAGAAATAACACCAGAGAGGCAAAGAGAAGGGACCTCAGTACCACCGTGAAAGGAGAGCCAAGCTTTAGACCCCGCGTCCCCATGCAGAGCCTCGAATCTCCAGGGAACATCAGGCTCTCAGATGCTGAAAGGAAACAAGGACGTTCCTCAAGAGCAGCCTGAGAAAGAATGTCTTCTCTGAAACTAGCCCCCCTGAATTCGGACTCCTAAATTGTCAGAGAACACATTTGTTTGTTAAAGCAAACTTATAAATAAATTTGATTGTTAAAAGCAAAATAAAGAAAATTCATGTAGTATTTCTGTTAGCACAACTAAACTATATATTTCTCCACACTTGTTTGGCCTGCAGATCTGTCTATGTATCTACTATTAGATATTATGATTATTGTGTGATAACAGTATTTACCTTGATCTTTTACTCTTGTGTACCTCCTAGTATATTACATTTTGCCTTGGTGACGTTCTGCTGCCCTTCCCCACCCTCCGCCCCCCCGATTAGATATTACCTTTCCCTTCACCCAAGTAATTTACATCTTTCTTCATCTCCCATTCCTATTAACTATCTAAAAATGGTTCTTTTTGTGTGAACACATTTTCTTCACTTTTCACAACAGTAGTTTCATTCAATATTGGTCCTTTTGTGACTGACATATTTCACTGAGGATAAGGTCTTCCAGAATCATCTACATTATGAGGTGTTTAAAAAATTCTTCATATTTTTTAACAATACCTGGTGCTCCATTCTACTTATGTACTACTTTATGGATTCCTCCATTAATGGGCATTTACATTGTTTCCATCTTTTTACGGTAGTGAATATGCTATAATGAACATAGGCGTGCGTGTATCTATTCATGTCTTTTCTATCTAGGATATATGTCCAGTAAGCATGTATTCTATGGTGTGTATATATGTGCTGGCTTATATGTTACTTCTAGTTCTAGCTTTTTATGGAAGCAGCACAAAAGTTTTCCACAGTGGCTGTACCATTGTACAGTCCCGGGGCAGCTTCAGTGTGCCAATCTCTCTACACCCTCACCCGTACTTTCGACTGTTTTGAAGGTTCTTATTTTTGCAAGGGTAAGATGCTAACACACTGTGACTTTGATTTCTCTCTCTCTAATCACCATGATTGGGAACACTTCTCTTTGTGTTTGTTGGCTGCCCTATATCTGTCTTATTTGGTGAAGTGTCTGTCATGTCACTTGTCCATTTTTTTATTGCTTTATTTTTGTTGTTGAGATGAAGTTTCTGGAAATTTTAGAGGTTAGTCTCTTCTCTGATGTATTGTTGCAAAATTCTTTTCCCATTCTAGAGATTCTCTTTTACACACTTTGAGAGAACTCATTTGAAGCACATAAGTTTAATTTGGGGAGGTGACAGTCATTTAGTGTATTTTATGCTACTTATGCATTTTAAGTTAACTCTGATAAGTCTAAGTATGGCCCTATTTTTTCTTTTCTTTTCTTTTTGTCCCTATTTTTTCTATGGTAATCTTTATCGTTTTAGGGTTTGCATTTATGTTTTCGATCCATCTTGTGTTGGTTCATATGGTGAAGGATAAAAATTTGCTTCCTTTCTCTGCAAATGGATAGCCAGTTTTGATAAGACCACTGAAAAGTTGAAATGGTTAAACGGTTGAAAAATTCTCTCTCTCCCTGTTGTCAAAGAACAGCTGTTCATAGGTGCATGGGTGTACTTCTGGGTTCTCAATTCTGTTCCGTGGGTCCGTGTGCCTTTCACTGTATTCACTCCAGGCTGTTTGGACTGACATAGCTGTATAATCGGTTTTGAGATCGGGAGGTGTAAAGCCAACTACTGTTGTCTTCTTCTTAAAGAATTTGTGCCCCCTCCATATAAAGATGGCAGTTGGATTCCCCATCTATTTAAAGAAGGATGCTGCCATCGGGATCATAAATTAATGCTAGCGATACATAACTTTGGGTAATATTGATCATTTTCACAATGTTAAATCTTCCTATTTGCGATC